GTGGTCAACCCCGACGTTGTTGGAATCTGTGCATAACTGTGGTCCATCACTTTGTTGGTGGTATTGCTGCATGTCGGACTGCATTGATTGCTCGTGGCCGTTTCTTGTGTTGGTGGAACCTGTGCATCTCTGCTGTTCAATACGTCTTTGTCGGCGTTGCTGCATATCAGACTGCATTGGCTGTTGTTGTCTGTCTCTTGTGTTGGAAGAATCTGTTGATCGTGGGTGGTCACTGCTTCTTGCAGTTGCTTTTGTGAATGTTGATGGTCTGGTGTCTTGACTATCCGACTGTTGTTGGTAGTCTGTATGTCCACGTTGCGTTGTTTGTCCTCTTGTGCTCCATCTTGTCTCGGACTGTCTATTTCTCGTGTAACTGTGGTCTGCTGCACGATCTTGTCCATTATCACACAAGTGATGTCTTGAGTCTGTTGTTGTGAGGCGTTCTGCGTCATCTGTAGGCAATTGATAATGGTCTCTGCCATGATCTTCACGATGGTTTTCAGCTGGACCTCGGTAAAACTGTATATCTGTTGTGTTGATTCCGAAAGTAATTGTTTGCTGCTCTTTTGCAATTGCTGTATTTCTGCAACACTCTTGTGTATTTTCTGATTTGGAATTAACAGATTCGGGAAATTTTGCTCTGTGAGAGTGGGTGCCTGTTGTGGCTGTGCACGAGTGTTCCAGACGTTGGTGTTGGTGTATGTATTGCTGGGTAGTGTGTTTATCCTGGCATGAGCTGTCTGCACTTTGTTTTTCCGTGCAGAGCAGGTTGTGCTCCAGGCATGATGTTTGCCTCCACAATTTGGACATTTGGCTGTTGTGGTCTGGTTTGCCTTGTGCTTGGCTATACAGTCTTTGGTTGGATGTCTCAGGCTGCACACTCCGCATCTCTCCTGTCCTGTGCAGCGAGATTGATGGTGGCCGTATTTCTGACACCTGAAGCAGCATAGGGGTTCCGGGACGTATGGCCTCTGTCGGTATGTTCCCCAATTTCCAAGACTGAATGTTTCTGGCACATGTCCCATGACGGTCACCAGAACCTGACGTGTCGCTGCCTTGTCTACTTTTGTGCGGCATCGTTCCGCATTCAGGATTTGCTTGTGTTCTAGTACTGGATCGAGGGGAAAGTCGATTGGGTATCCCAAAAGCACGACTCGTGTGCGTCTTTCTGAAGGGTCCAGCTTTACCAAGCATACAGGTTTCCCTTGCAGGACTCTTGCTTTTTCTAAGGAATTTGCAGTCTGTTGGTCTTGTGGTGTCATTATAATTTCTCCTTTCAGGCTGACTGTAATGGAAAGTTTGAGCTCTGGTTGGTCTTTTTCCAATGCCGTTACTACTCCATATGCTGTAGGAAAGTGGTCTGTCTGCATTATCTTGAATTTTGGAAGATGTGCAGAGGCTGGCGATGTCTGGTGTGAGACTGGTGGTGTCCTCTCCTGTCTCATACTGTTGTCCTGTGGCTGGGCTGTGGAGAGAGGAACATTGTCTGACACTGGCTGGTGTGAGACTGGTGGTGTCCTCTCCTGACTCATACTGTCGTCCTGTGGCCGTGTTGTGGACAGAGAAGCGACGTCCATTACGTCGGCTGTCTTGCTGGTAGAAGCAAGTGGTAAAGCCTCGATAGCAGTTTTCTTCGGTGCCTGCTGCACATCGGTCCACCGTCCCTCCTCGTCCGAAAGCTGCTTCCATTTCCTCTTGCTCTTAGCCTTCCCCATGACTCTCTTCACGTAGGGAGAACCGAATCACTGCCCTTCCTATTGCCTGAGACACTCCTAGGCCTGGAGAAATTCATTCCCCTCCAACGGAGGTCGTAGAATGATTCCCCCAGGTGGAATCAGGGATACCTAACACCTAAAAGAGCTGTTTGGTCTACTTTTCCCTGTCAGGCTCAGTACACCTTCTAAGGTGCCCCTTTGTGGCACTGCCTGCAGGGTATCGCCTCGCCCTTCAGGGTAGGACAAGTGACCTGGTCAGTGATACGGTCCTCAAAAAAAAAAAAAAAAAAAAAAAAAAAAAAAAAAAAAAAAAGTGCGGTACGAGAGTTCGGGTCGCCTGCGTACAGGGTTGCGCAGAATACCAGTCAGCTGGGCAGCAGGTAATCAACAACGGTGGTCCTCTGTCAATTGTGGACAAAATCGGAATTGTTTCCTTAAAAACAAGATATTGTCCGGGTCTTGGAGTACTGATGTATTCTTCCTCACAAAACCGCGACGAATGGAGCTGATGGGTGCTCAGAATCGTGAGTTTTTCCGGGAACCTGTGTGTTGCTCTTACGTCCAGCAGATGGCACTGTTTAAAAAAAAAAGCATGTTTTTTCCTGTCACAGGTAAGGCATGTATATAGTAGGTTTATAAAAACACACGCCTATTTGAGTGCAACGTTGTGTCAAAATTTCAAAGTAAAGAGATTTCGAAAATTTCCATCACATGAAATACATATTAAAAACACAGTTTAAAAAAAAAGTTTTTTCCCATCACAGATGTGACATCTATATAATCTATATAAATAAAAATGGAAATGTTTGTTCAAAATCGCTAATCTCCGAAAGTTCTTCACCAATTGCTTTGAAATTTTCACACAACGTTCCAATCGCATCCGAACAGGTTTTTTTTTTATACATAGTATATAGATGTCACGTCTGTGACAGTAAAAAAAAAAAGTGCTTTTTCTGAAAAACTGTTTTTCATGTGAGGGAAATCTTCGAAACCTCTTTACCGATTGCTTTGAAATTTTGACACAACGTTGCATTCGATAAGGCGCATCTTTTCATATACCTATTATATAGATGCCACCCTTGTGACAGGTAAAAACATGCGTTTTTGAAAAATAGCGCCATCTGTTGCACATAATAGCAACATGCACGCTCTACTAAATATGTCACGAAATAGATTTCAATGTTTGCGATTGCATTGATAAATTTTATTTTCATAGATTTCGATTTATCTTATTTTATATTGAATTATTTTGTGACATTGTGTTGGAATTGAGCTGTGTTGTTTACCATACCTTTCATTTCGTAAGTATAAGTATAGATGCCACACTTGTGACAGGTAAAACTGTTTTTCTTGAAAAACAGTGCCATCTTTTGCATGTAAGAGCAACACACATGCCATACATAATGTTACAATTCCATTTCAATGTTTCTGATAGCATTGATAAATTGAATTTTCATAGATTTTGATTTATTTTAATTTTGATTTAATTATTTTGTGTGAATTGCAATGGAATTGAGCTGTGTTGTTTACCATACAATTCATTTTGCGAGTATAGATTTTTTGTTTTTGTTTCATATTTTAATTTCACATTTTAACCGTTTCTCTTATATTTCAGTGGTGGGAACATCAGATCACTTGATGTTCCCAATTTTCTGATGGGAACATCAGACCATTTGGGAACGCATCAGACGAGGGAATGGGGAATAGTGGGGATGACGAGGGGACGGAAGTGAGAGAAGGTTGGGGGGGGGGGCCGACAAAGGAGGGAGAAATGATGGGGAAGGACAAGGAGACAGGGGGAGTTTGGGATTGTATGGACAAGGGGAAGGGGGAATGGAGAAGGGTGGGGAGGACAAAGGGACAGGGGAGTGGGGCATGGTGGGAAGGAAGTGTGGATGGTAGATTAGGGAATGGTGGGGAGGACGGTGGAGTGGGGAATTGTTGGGAGTCCGAGGAGATGGGTGAGGGGGGAATAATGGGGAGGACAGGGGGATAGGGAAGATTGCTGGGGTTCAGCAACGCACATGCGTTGCTGAGCCACAGCAACGCGTGGCCGGGTACAGCTAGTCTATATAAATAAAAATGGAAATGTTCGTTTGTTCAAAATCGCTAATCTCAGAAAGTTCTTCACCGATTGCCTTGAAATTTTTACACAACGTTCCCTTCGCATCCGAGCGGGTTTTTATATGCATACTATATATAGTCACATCTGTGACGGGAAAAAAATATTCTTTATTTTTAAAAGCTGTGCTTTTCATGTGAGGGAAATCTTCGAAACCTCTTCACTGATTGCTTTGAAATTTTGACGCAACATTACATTTGAATAGGCGAGTGTTTTTACGTATCTACTATATACATGTCTCAACTGTGACAGGAATTTTTTTTTAACAGCGCCATCTGTAGGACGGAAGAGCAACACATGCAGTAATCTCCGAAAGTTCTTCACCGATTGCTTTGAAATTTTGACTCAACATTCCATTCGAATACATGCATGTTTTTATATACCTACTATTTAGATGCCAAACCTGTGACAGGTAAAAATATGCGTTTTTTGAAAAATGGCGCCATCTGTTGCACGTAGAAGCAACACAGGATATACAAAATATGTTGCAATTTCATATCAATGTTTCTGATTGCATTAATAAATTGAATTTTCATAGATTCTGATTTATTTTCATTTTGATTTAATTATTTTGTGTGACGTTGCATTGGAATTAAGCCGTGTTGTTTATTATACCGTTAATTTCGTGGGTAAAGCTTATTTGTTTCTTTTTTCCTTGTTTTCATTTCGTTTTTTTAACTTATTCTAATTTTTCAGTGCATTTGGTGTTTCTGAACACACTTTGGTGTGTCTGAGTCAATTGAGCTGTGTCGATTGATTTGCGTTTGAATTGAAATATTTCGTTAGTATTTTTTGTTTATGTTTTGAAAACAAGAAAATAGACAACACGTTTATTTCACAGCTGCAAATGTACAACAAACAGCTATGAATCCACCGGCTACAACGTTAACTGTTTTCTTCACGTGATGTCAAAATGATGCGTTTGCGAAAACACTGCTGTATTCAGAATTCACGTATTACACATTGAATGCCAGTAGAAAATCATTTGAACGACGAAAACGAGGATACCGAGTCGACGGACAACCTGGCACATATAAATAAATTACGATTGGCAGACTGTACACCGTGCATCCCAATCACGATGAATGCTTCTTTCTTCGCATGCTGTTGGTAAATGTGCCCGGTCCAACGTCTTTCCAGCCACTGAGATTTGTTAACGGCATAACACATGCCGTAGTGCATGTAAAGTTCGGAATTTATTGGAGAACGACTGACACTGGGATATATGCATTAATGACGCGTCCAACACGTCACATCCAAATCAAATTTATGCATTGTTCGCAATCATATGGACTGCCTGCTCTCATCTCCAACAGATTTATGGGAGAAATATAAATCGCGCATGGCTGAAAATATTACCCATCGAATATGATGGAAAATTAAAATATGAACATGGATTTTACAGCAGAAATCTACAACGAAGCGTTGATAATGATTGAAGATTTTTGCTTAGAATTCGCGGACAATGTTCTAAATCAATTGGAAATCCCATCAAACAATCGATCTGCTGCTGCTTCGTTCGATGTAGAATTGTGTCGTGAACTAAATTACAACACGAATGATCTGTTGTCATATGTGCAATCAAATATTCCTAAGCTAACGATTGAACGAAAAGGCATTTACAATCATATAATTCAAACTGTCAATAACGGGTTTGGCCGCAGATTTATACGCCAGGGGCAACCATATGACACAATTTACGACGCCCATAACGCGGTCGGCCATGGGGGAGAAAAAAGAACTTATTTTCAAGTAAGCAAGACGGTTGCTAACGTAACCTAAGAAGAAGTAAAACTATTCATTTCTTTGTCAAATTTGTAACTTAAAACGTGTTCCCAGGTGTAAGAAAGGGGTAGTTAAACCCATCGTGTCTGAGAGTTTCGGAGAGAGGGGGCAGATGAATTTGATAGACATGCATAAGGATGGGTGATGTTTCTTCAACTACATTTTTCATTACCAAGATTATTTAACCAAGTTCTCAGTTCTCTGACCTCTTCGCACTAAACAGGCGATAGAAGTCGCTCGTCACTTGCTGGATATCTTTACGCTCATTGGAGCCCCTCGATATCTGCAAAGCGACAACGGCCGTGAATTCGTGGCGGCAGTGATTCATCAGTTACGGACGGAATTATGGCCCAAGTTAATCCTAATAAACCGTAAGCCCCGGCATCCCCAGAGTCGGGGAAACATAGAACGGGCCAACGGTGGCATTACAAAAATGCTTGGGAGTTGGATGTGTGAGAATCGAACTCGCGATTGATCGGCCGGTCTTCCCTTCATACAATTTAATAAGAATATAGCATATTCACGGGGTGTTGGACTGTCACCGTACAAGGAGGTCTTTGGGATCGAACCCCCCCATCGGTATGCAAACCGAACTCTCATCATCGATGTACAAACTGCTGCAAGGAAAGGATATCACTGAAGAAGACTTATTAACGATGAATCTAATTGAACGAGAGGAGGAAGTTGATGATCCTATTGGAGACCAGGAACGAAGTCGAGAACAAGATGTTGAAGAACACCACTGTCGTCAACCACCGACTGCTGAGGCTGGGAACCAGAACGAAACTATTATCAACTCCAGGGATTCAGAGGTATCTATTTATTAATTATTGGTTGATAGATAGATGATGATTTATACTGAGATTATATTCGTCATATCCTTTCCCTTGAGTTGTACAATATTAAAATAATCAATCTGTAAAGAAAGAGAAACATTAAAATTTCTACTTCATTAATTAACTTCCGAAAAGAGTGAGTGAGTTAACAAATAATGGGATGGCATATGATAATTACAATTATAAATTTTTGGAAGGTTAATTTGATAAATAAATGCCTATTTATATTTATTAAGAGAAGTAAAGCCAAGAAGCGACAGTATATACTATTTATATATATTTTCTTTTAATTACAGTCATCATCACCAATATTACCTCAACAACAACATCAATCCATCATATCTCCACATTCGAATACAACTACAAGTTCTGCGCCTGAGATGATGATAATCTCCCCACCTCCACCATCATTGCCACCAATATTATTACCCCGGGAGATAATGGATGACGAGCTGAACAAAATAACAGGAGAACCGTTAGATGAAGTCAACAATGAGGAAATGGGAGCAGCTCCTACTACACCTTCGTCTTCTCATCATGAGATGATAATAATAAGATCTCTGCCACCAAGTTCACCACCATTCCCACCACCACCACCATTGCCACCAATATTATTACCCCTGAAGATAATGGATGACGAACTGAACAAAGTAACGGAAGCCCCATTGGGTCGAGTTAATAATGAAGAAATGGCAGCATCTCCAACTACACCTTCGTCTTCTGATCATGGAATGATATTATCATCTCCACTACCACAAGAGCCTTATCTTCGACCATCATCTTCGCCTCTTCTTGTAGTGTTATCACCTAAGATAATAATTAGACAACTGAAATATTCAGGGGGACACACCATCTCGTACTGATTCGGAGTCCGACGAAAATAACAACAATATCGACGCAGACATCGACAACCAACCTCCCCATCACTTGCATGTCAAAAATGTAAGAGAAATAAATAGTAGAGTGAAGGAGCGCCAGAAGAGTAACGCTTTTAAAATGTTGTCACAGTCTTCATCAGAAGTTACACCTATAAGTTTATACGACGCAGTTAATGTCATAATCCCTAAAGCAGACAGAGAATCGAAGATGGGGATACGTACCATCAGTGGAATAGTTATCGAAATTGATCACCGGAGAGATTTATATCGTGTGGCCACCAAATTTGGAACCATCGATCAGTATCTTTCTAGGACTGACTTCGATAAATGTGTAGACAGAATTTCAAATTAATATTGAAAATCAAATTAATAAGAGCCAGACAGTAGGTCTTCGAGAAGTCGTTCGAAGACAGTCTGATTATTTTCTCAGTGATAATCGCTATAGGTAGATTCTAGTGAGTCATTGTAAACTCTTGCCGTGTATGAATCACAGATGTATTTGCCGGAGATACGGTCAAAGGTGTATCCCCAAATGCCGACATAATGTACAAATCTGCAAAAATTGTTGATAATAATAATAATAATAATAATAATAAATAATCAAATACTTATACATTTCAATAACCTTTATCATACCATGTTTGGATAAGTGCGAAAAATCATTTAAACCACAACTGCTGTTACGACATGTTCCATAAACGTAAATACCAAATCCAATTAATAGTTTTTTATCTTTTGTATCTCACATTCAAGGGTAACTTTTTAAAATTATATAATTGATTTTATAAAATTCAAAATTGTTTACAAATAAATTTGAGGGTTTTATTTCGCAAAAAAATATATTTTTGCTAAGTAAAAACCAAAAGTAAATACTTCTTTTTTTAGATGACAAACTTTACATTTTATTTAGAATAAATTATTTAATTTATTATATAAAATATCTTTACAAAAATAAATTTGGGCATTTTATATCCCCCCAAAATAATTTTTGGGTTTTATTACCCACAAATAATATATTTTGCGAGTTAAATGCATATAGACTTCGAGTAATGTCATGTAAAAATATATATAAATTTTTTTAAATAAAATAAGATATATTATATAAATTCTTAAAACATACACAACATATATAAAATTTGTTTCATAAAATTAATCAACTGGAAATAAATTTATATTATATATACCTGGAGAAACCTTTCATAATTTTACCTTCACAATAATATTTCAATATAATATTTAAAAATAATGAAAACAAGTTACTCCTAAACAATAATATCTCATTATTGCATAAAATTGTGTTAATAAATTGTAATAAGTCAATAAAAAGTGGCAGTAAAGGATTTTTTCTAGTTTAATCATGTCTTTTTGGTTTATAAAATATTATAAATCTAAAGAAAATTCTTACAAAAAAGTTACTTCTCTAAAATGTCATTATTTTTTTGTTTCTTTGCCTGTCAAACTCGGTGCTAAATTCAGTATTCTTGATACAAAAATCTGTGTTATCGGTGCTAAATTTTATTCTCTCGGCACTAAATTCTGTGTTAGATACATTTAAATAGTTATTTTTTCTTTGGGAATCATAAAAAATTCCATCGAATCAGTTTTGAAATATAAAAATATTAGAAAACTCTAAACCCTTTCATTAAGTAAGCATATATATATTGATATAATGTTATTACATATATTATATTTACATTATGTATATTACATATTTATTAATATAATTAATATAAAGAACTGTATTTTGAAATATGTGCGTGTTTGAAGTTATATTTATTTTGAAAGAGAAGAATCAATTAAAAGATATTGAACTTGAAACGTCTATTGAACAATGTTTGAAATCATGAATAGATACATGTATGAAATTAAAAACTTTAAGTCCAATAACTGTCACCCCGGGTGTCAGAGTTAGTGGTTATAACATATTGTTTACGATAGCTTAATTTCATGCCTTAACCCCTTCAATTTTCTCTTTGATATATCACATCATTGTGATTTCTTTGTTTTAAGATTGAGTCAATCTGTCTGTCCATGGTTGGAGGTCAGATGCTTGGGGCTAGTCTTTAACACATTATTTTATTTTGTAGTGAGACCTGTCGAAAACTGAATGCATCTAATTATAATAATAATAACCTATACGCAGTTCCCTTTTCTCCCTCATGAATTTTCTACCTTATCATTTGCTCAGTTGGATGAATAAATGTTACCTATATTCTGTAGTACTTATGAAATCTTTCTCCGAATGTCTCTTCAAGCTGTTGTTACTGCTAAAACTTCTCCTACATATAACACATTTATATTTCTTTATGCCTATATGTTTATTATTAATATGATCGTTCAAGTAAATCTTATGGGAGAAACCTTTAAAACATATATGACACGTATAAGGTTTTTTGCCTGTATGTATTTTAAGATGTCTCCTAAAGCGCATTTTATAATTAAAATTTCTTCCACACGTAGAACATTTATAAAGACCTTTACCTGTATGTTTTTTCAAGTGCGTTTTTAAGGTACATTTATGTGTAAAATTTTTCATGCAATCAGAACATTGATAAGGCTTTTCGCGAATTTTTAAGTGTGTCTTCAGGGTGTCTGGCCATCTGAATTTCTTATTACAATCTGAACACTGATAATGCTTCTCGAGATAATTTATCTTGGGATGAGGTGGTAATGGTAGCCAATTTCTATCACTTTCACCCACTTTATCTTCATCACGTTCAATTTGTAAGACGTTTTATATATATATATATATATATATATATATATATATATATATATATATATATATATATATATATATATATATATATATATATATATAAATTTTGTGAGGGTACCACCTCTGGTGCCAATGAGGGGACCCATAGCCTCGGAGAAGAAAATAAAAAGTATTCAGAGGAGACCTTGTGGTTTCTCACTGAACACTAATATTATCTTCTCCTACCACCCCCATTCTTTTGTATGTACACATATATATTTACTTTATTTGAACTTTGTTACAAAAAAGGAGTTACATATGGGTTACAAAGATGGTTATCATAGGTTGTCGAGTTCCTCCAGCTCCTCAGATGGCGGGCAGGAACCCTGGATGCAGTGCGCATTTCCACTCTGTATCGCCACACTGAGTTGCTGGAAAAGAAAGCTTCCAGCTCTTGGGTCCCTTGTTGTTTCAATGAGCCTAGAAGCCAGTTCCTTCAAAAAACTGGTAGCACTTTTACCCCAGGCGCCGAGTGTCTCAGAAGCAATAGGGACAAAGTTGTAGTGGTGATCCAGTTCTCTATACTTACGGGATTTGGCTGCTTCCCTGTGGGTGGCAGCGCCACCTGGTTGTGCAACACTGAGGTCAATGTAGGTGTTAGCCAGGGTTGATACGCACGTGTATTCCGATACCAACTGCTTGCCATTCTTCCAGGGGTTCACTGTGATACCATCCGGGGGACCAATAAGAGCATCAGAGTTACGGGGCGTTAGGTAACGGGGCTCTCTTTCAGCTGGGCATCCAGCTGTGGTGAAGCTCCTCTTGACGATGTCGTTAACTTCACTGTGCCTCGAGTGCCATCCCCCTGTGCTTTGGCAGAGTAGGCCATGGTGGCCATACCTGTCAGCCACCACCTCGCCGCAAATACACCTATATCTGGTGTGGATTGGGGCAGCAAGGCGGAGGGCCACAGCAATTCGGAGGGCGTGTGGTGTGAGACGTGTGCCAGTTGCCGACATTGGGGTTGCTAACAGGAAATCCCCTGCATGTGGTGCTGCTACTGCTGTGAGGCGAGCAATGTCGTGTTGTGTTGTTGCAGCACCCAGGCACTCTGCAGCAACTTGGTCTACAATGGGGCCATCCCAGCTGGATTGCTTGTGGGCTTTTGGGGATGGTGGTTGAGGTGATTGGCCTGCACGAGAGGCCCACTCTGTGGCACAGCGTGTAAAATTGGGATCATGTTCACCTGCCAGCTGATGTAAGTGGGCAGGTAGAATTTCCTTCACAAGGTAGTCGGATGCTGATAAGGAGGACAGGAAGGCTGGAACAGCGATTTGCGTTGCTGTTCGAACTCCGAGGCCCCCAAGTTTTACGGGAAGAGAGGCTTGTTTCCACTGTAGGTCATCGAGAGAGAGGTTAAGGGCTTTTTCTAGCATTGATTTCAGTAATCGGTCATACTCACTTAGTTTTTGGCTACTGTAAGATGAACACCTCAGAAAGTAGGTTAACCTGGGGAGGGACAGACATCTGGTGATGAGGTAGAGTGCATCATGAGCATCAATATCCTCAATCCTCCCATCCATCCTCTTAAGGTCGGTGATTTTCTTATCAAGGACCTCATCGATGGCTTTCAACCCCAGGGGAGCTCCTAGGAGTGTGCTGTCTTCAGGTTTAGTTTTATGGATATTTGGCAGAAGACCCTCTATTCTCTCTACGATGCCCTGGTTGGAACATATTATTTCACATTTAGAAGGGTTCAGGGTGAGGCCTAAAACTGCACCTTGCTCCTGGATTTTTCTGATGTCCTCCAGGAGGGAGTCTTGGGAACCAGCTAGGGTACCATCATCCACGAACCAGATGTTAAGCTCGCTGGACAGGACCTCTGTGACTTGTTTGATGACTAAGCAGAAAAGGAGAGGAGCAAAGGGGTCACCCTGTTGGACGCCTTTTCGCGAGTCAATTTCATGTTCGCCAAAAAGTAGCTTAAGATCCATACAGTAGCATGAATGTACAAAAGGGTAGAGGGAAGGGAAATGACTATGAACCACACGGAGTACAGCATCCCTCCGCACCAAATTGAAGGCATTTTTGAAATCTAGCTTGATAAGGGCCTTTTCGTCTGTGATGTTGGCGATGAAGGCTCGAGCTGCATGGGTTGCCGCCTCACACCCTTGTGGAATGCCAAACCCGAGCTGTTTTGGCTTCAGCATGTTGGCCGCTGCATCACTAACTGTTCTTGCAGCTGCCTTTGCGACGAGACGCTGGAGAGAATTGCCCACAGCTATTGGCCTGATCCCTCCATCCTTTTCTTTAGAACACAGAGAGATGCTCCAAAAAAGATAGGTCTTATGGACGCTGGTATGTTGCCAGCTAGACATGTGTTGGTGAATCTGGTTAGTTCCACCAAGAGGTTCTTTGCAATGTCACCCAGTGCAGGGTTGAGCATTTGCTTGAGGTCGTTGGGTTTTAGTCCTGTGAACCCACCTGCTGATCCTGTAGGGAAGGACATGGCTGCTTTATGGACCACAGATTCAGCCACCCAGAGAGGTTCTGCTCCGGTAGCCCCCACTTGTACAATGTCGTCCTCACGTGGAGCCCTGGGTGGGTGTTTCTCCCTTAGGGCTTGAGCTGTTGCGGCATCTCTGTCGGCAATTGAGTCCTCACTGGTGATGACTCGCATTGCGCCAATAGTGTTTCCTTCTTCTATTTTCTTGGTGACTGATGTCCTGATTTTTGATGTCTCGGATATGCCCTTCCTGCCGTGGGTGTTTC